CCCCACCCCCCTCTATAAGGGAATACACTATGTATTACTTTTTCAAAACCAATGAAGTTCAAATGTGCTTACAAAACCTTGTGATGTTTGTATCATACTCACTGTTTGATATTGGACTAAGGTTTTTAGGCTGACCTGATAGGGCTGGGTAAACCTGTAGGGAACTGGGAACGATTTGTCTTTTTTGCTCTGAAAAAAAGGGAATGTTTCAGGTCAACAGCTGGATATGGGAAAAAGACAAATAATAGAAATGAATTTCAGGGAGTACTGATAGAAGGGGCTTGGGGCGCTTCTAAACCTTCCCGCGATTTGCTAATATCCACTAAGTTCTAGATATAGCCTGCAGAGCAGGCGTTCTTCTAATGGGTTTGAGAGGAAGAATCAGGGTTTGGGGTTCCTGTTTCGGTTTTTTTCCCCAAATCCACAAGAACGCCTGCTCTGCAGGCTATTCTAGACATCTTCTGACTTTTGGCCTCATAAATACTAATTAATCATATTATAAATATCAAAACTTAATACTTATTTTAAACTACACTTTTATAAATTTTGGCAGATCTAGAATTTTCAAAAGGGAAGCATATTATTTATAACTAAGGATGAAAGACTGGACTTTATCACGGACGCGGCAACAATGTTAACTGTAACAACAGATTCCCCTCGTAGCCTCGCATTCAATCGCTGGCTTCAGGATGAGGTTAAGCGTAGTTAAACAAAGGTCAAACAAGGTCGGTGGATCGGCCCTCCCTCTCATATCAGAGGTTCAAATGATTGTGTTATCCTAACAGTAAGTTTTGAATGAAGTGTCCTTTTGAAACCGCTAGGTCTCTCTACGCTTGGATCTTGGATCCGCAATTTTTTTTTTTTTTTTTTTTTTTTTTGTTTGAAAATTCCCGCCAAATGCACAGATAGCCCAGTAAATTAATTAAAAACGACTAAAGATTTTTTAGTCAGGCCCTTTTGGGGCAAGCCTCCCCCCTCCAACTACACCCCTGCATCTGCCTATAATCATCACTATCACCGTTATCATTATATCATCACCTTATCATTATTCTTTATCCTTGTCATCGCGTCATAACTTTCAATGCTTTTTCCTTTCTACAAACCAATTACAATGTATCCAAAAATATCAATTCAAAGTAATACCACAATGAATCATAGTCATTATCACCATCACCGTCAACGTCACCRTCATTTTTTTCCTAATATAGTTTATCTATTCTCGTCTAATTTCTTTCGGTGATTATTTTTCATTTTACAAACCAATTACAACTTATACAAAACAAATTAAAAGTATTTTACTACTTTTTTGTTTCATCCACGATTTTTGACACAAAAAAGTAGTAAAATCATGACTCCCACGAACAAAGAAACTCTTGGAATTAAAAGTAATTCCCCAATGAATGTCCCATAGAGTATTTGTATCTCATGGTTGTAATTCTCTAATAACCCCAGTTGAGCAAATATATTAATCAAAGTGAGTAAAGGTTGACGACGGGGGGTCATGTAATCAGTACCAAGTACATGCATTTAGAAAGAGAGATTCGATAATTGAAAGCATTTGGTATCCCCTCACTTTGGAGAGCAAGAGACATGAAGACCATATTTTTATTCCTGATCTTCGCGGGCTTTTCTTTTCAATCCATCATTTCTGCTCCAATAAATCAAGGTAAATGACAAATTTATTTTCCAACATTTGATTTCTTGGAAATAGATAGTCAATTATTTTTGAACCTTCAATGAACTGAAAAGTTCGTCATTTC